ACTATCACTCTTACCACCGAAGGCTAAAGTGGCTGGGAATTTTCGGCGGACGCTACCGAAGTCTGTGCGGAGATCTCATATTAGCGTATTAAATACTGAGTGGCCCTAATCACGTATGTTACCACTTGCTGAAACTTAACCACAACACGCAGCTCAGGGATAACTGCTTGAAATTGAAGCAACAATATAGATGTCTAGAGTGTCCAGATAATTAATTTTCCCTTCAGGTTTGACAACCCTGAAACGTATTTCCACACTTAGTTATATTCTCCCCTAATTTGGACATTTTCGAAAAAGGATTAGATGTTACTCTTACCTCCCAGCACTTTATTACCTAAAATACGCTATTGTAGATTACGTCAGTCATGCCTTTCTACAGGATATATGTGTCAAATAGACCCAAGTGAGCGACCGTATGTTATATTTCTCACGCCTTATATCAACTACCACTGCACCCCGTGTATTTCTGCACGCTCACGCTGATGTTATGTATCAAAGCATTTACCTCGGTAGACGCTCGGTAGATGACCCACATGTATTCTGCTTTCATCGAATTCGCTCCAACCATTCTACGAGACGTGTCAAGCGCTTGCCTTTATCTTGTGATAAATCATTATTCATTGTTCATCGGCTATGCACTAAAGTTTATTGACCGCCATTGTAAAGCAAACAAACATGATCGTACGCTCACAGCCCCATAGAAGCCCACTGTCATTGAGCTACCTTTCAAAGGTGACAATGTGATGAAAGTCACCGAGAAATGCATAAGTGCCTCATTGTAAAGAGCCTACAACTAGGTGGAATTGCAGCTGATCACCTCTACTAGACCTATGCCAATGTGTGCAATTAAGAAACCTATGACAAAGCAGTGCATGTCCCACTGTCTATACAAATGTATCTGTATCTGTAGAGACAGCTACGTCGGACGCACTGACCAAAGTCTCGGTGTCAGAATCAATGAACACATTCCAAACTGGTTACTCGGCCTCATGGAATCTGGGACGATGGAATCATTCTATTCGGGAAACCGAGCTACCTCAACAGTCACCAGATACTTGCTGACTACTGGTCACCGACTCAATCCTGATGAGTTGTTCACAGTCCTAATGCGCGATCAGCGGCCCCAAATCCTTAGATTATTGTAGGCCATCGATATCGATCGCGAACGACCACCGCTGTGCATTCAAAAACGATTGACAGTGTCTCTAAGCCTACCTTGGTATCCCATTCGTTTTGCTATCTATGATCACCAGTTATGTTCCAATGTTGCATGCGTTTGAGATTGATAATAATCCACGAAATGAAGGCATCATCTCTCATCCTGCGTCTTCCAATTTTATGTGTTGAATGATAAAGGGAAATGCTTGTTTCAAAGTTCCCAACCGTGGTATTTGCCAAAATGCAGTAACTCGTCAAGCGTTTCGACATTTAACAGGTAAATTGGAAAGTGGTGTGTTCAAGTGAGGGGAACCCCTGGGAAGGACAACACTAAGTGGGGTTATACTGCAGGTTTGCATTCTGATTGCACAAAGATTGTCTCGTTAGTCGCGTTTCAGACGCCCATCGGGCGCCATTCGGTCACTTCTGTGGACTGGGGAAGACACCTGTGTACGTGCCAGAAAAACTGTCCACTTTTTTGCACGTACTGTTATAAGCTTCTGTAGTCGCCGTACATCGTGTTTATTGGATTGATACACAGCACAAGGAAATTGGTTATAACAAGCCGCGATGATTGTAACAAATTCATCACTATCGGCCGCCTATAGCCAGCCTTCATAAAGCAAGCCGTATCGCCTTCGATGTCTCGCTGTGCTTCATACAACATAACAAAGCTAAACACGTTTCAGCTCCATTGTTTCCCCGAATCTAAAACCGGTATCGGTCTACTTGCTGCAGTTATCTCAACGGAATTCTTCGTACTTGACCTGTCGATTTTCACGACCAACCGTCGTGGTCAAGATGTTCGGGGACCCATCCTTTTTCTGAATAAGGCTCTGCGTAACTACTTTAGGTCTGTATTTAGTATATTTATTGTTGCACATTTTTGGTCGAATAACCTTTAATAAGCAACAAAGCAAAAACGTTCTAAAACTTTTAAAAATAAAAAAATACCTGCATATTTGAACACAGACCACATGCCGTTGTCTGAACGGCTGACTCCCGCGAGCAAAACGTTCGAGGATCGCCGCGGTCTACGAGGATTTAAAAGCAATAGCTGGACGTTCTTCGCGATATGAGGGTGGCAATGACGTGGGGCGGAAGGAAAAGCCACCGTTCAGCAGCATCCGTGGTTGAGGCCCTCTTGGTGCATCATCGGGACTAGCCAGCTTTTTTCGCAGCCCGATAAAACCACTCCAACAACTTGGCGGGATGCATTCCGTCTTGCAATTAGTTAGTCACAAATACTCAGGCACAAAGGAACCCGATTTCGACGATCCCCATATAGTGCAATGATGGTGCGCTATGTAGCAGATTCGCGGCTTAACGAGCAAACGGTAGCGCACGAGAGAACACGCGAAAATAAGCTGGAAAATATGTATTGAACGGTCGCGCAAGTGGCGAAAGCTAAAAATAGGGCAGCAGATGAGAGCGAGCTAAGGAAGATATGGACGTGTGTCAAGTGCGAAGACGAGCGTGGAGCAGCAGGTCACGTCCGATTGGCCGCAAAGCGTATGCCCGCTTTGCGTGTGTGTCTCAAACAAACGGGAGCAAAATTCAAACATAAGAAATCTATATTTTAGTATAGGGGGAATCTCCAGGTCAATTAACCCTTTCTAACACAAAGGGCTACAAATATTCCTATTCGGAACAACTCTTAGATCTCCAGACTCAGATCCCTTTGGATGTCGTACGCTTGCTTTGTTCAGCATTCTAGGGGGTAGCTAGTTCTGTAGCACCCCAAAGTTAATGCCAATCTTTTATGTACCACTCTATTATTGATCTAGCGTACACTATTCGTCCTGGTTTTACTGCTCCTAACCTATAACTATGTTTTACTACATCCAGCTCACTATTTCTACTGGATGAGTTACAACGTTGACGTCCGCTCCACTCGTCTTTGTCCGTTCATATATCAAAACGATTACAGCCGTTTATGCCCGACATTCCAGCTTTCTAGCATCCACGCAGGATTATACGGGCAGTCTCGGACCAGTATTCACTAGTTCTAAATACAGCAGCGACGTGAAGTTATTATCACTTTAAACTGGACATTTTAAAACTAAGTTGGACATCTCTCAATCACCAGAGGCCTCTAATAAATCAAACGACGATTTACAGATCACCGAAGATTCGCCCAGCTGACTATTAAAATGACACCAAAAATCGTTTGCCCATTAGTACACGGAAGATTTTCTCGCATATCTTTTAAATGCCACATCGTGTATGGCTGATATGGGAGAGGTCGATCGTATCTTCTGCGAAATCTATGACTTACATGGTAGTGGAGAATGAATCACACTATGTATCGTAGTTATTCTGTAATCTCTAATAGTTTAGCACTGTCAACCATGGTCTACTGGCATTAGCCGCTGGCGTCGACAGATTTTGTCTCGGTTGCAGGTACAGCCTGGGACGCGCACTTCTGCAAACCACATTAGGACTAAACGATGGTTTTTGGCTGGTAAAAGAACGCAAGCTTAATGTGCCCGGTAGGTTGGTGATGAAAAAAATTACACATTCGAACACAACATAAGTAGACCAAGCGAAATGCGCGTCGGTAAAAAGATAGTTTCTTCGCATACGCTACTTAGGATAAACTGTTACTAACATATTACGCTTCCTCTCGCCATCACAATATTACGCTGGTAGACCCCACCAACATCACATCGGTCGTTCCCGCACACCTTATCCTTCACAGATTTCCTTTCGACTCTTGAGTAGTCAAAACTATCAAATCATTCACGTCTCCCATGATTTTTGTATGTCATATTTTCTGCCGCACTGCTTTTTCCCCTTATTACACCTTTTTTAGTTATTTTCGTAGCTGTGCGCTTTAGGATCCCTGATCCTTGATTGCTTACATTGGAAAGTGATGCACATGATTTCATCTAACTGCCGTGTTTCCTTGGTGTCAGACAATAGTTAATGAGACCCTCCGTTGTTACTGAGCTATTCATACGCGAAAGGCTGAGCTTTATAGCCACCTTGCATGATCCGGGTGACAAGTGCATATTTAGTAGAACATAGCTGGAAGTTAGCCACTGATGCTCACATACTCTGTTCTAATATCTCCGGACTGGCAGACTGATGTCTCCGGTCGATGGAGCCCACCAGTAAGAAGCAAACTGTCATCCATCCTAATGCCGTCCTACAAGGATGCATAGGGAGACAGGAAGCTGTCTAGCCCGTCTGTCAGGCGGGCTATTTCGCTCAGCATTCGGATTACTGAAAGCATCCCACTCGTGTGGAACATTGTATTTGTTCTTCGAGATGGATATCTAAAGTGTGACTTATTTTCGATACTGAATTGCAAAAGCATTACTGTCCGTGTTTAAAGCCGTCTGGTGGAAATAGCTGGACGCATAAGAGGAATCCAGTGCCACACTTTCACCAGCCCAGACGCATCACGACGTAGACTAGGTTCACGAATACCGCTCGTTGTAGCAATCAGAAACAACCCTTTAACAATGGAACAATGGAACAATGGATTTATGCGGGTATAAAAGCTAAAGCTTGACAAATCCCGTGGAGTGATCAGTGCGAAAATCATAAAGTGTGAAAAATTCAATGGAAACCAATTCAGTAAATTCGTTTAACAACGAGTCACTACAATCTTGGGGACTCACCGAGTTTGAAGTGTCAAAATAATAATCCACTATAACTCCGGAGGGGATCATGAGGTATGGAGTATTTAGTTAAAAGAGTCACCGCCCCTTGAAATTCGCATGGGGCAAAGTGTTTGAGTTTGAAGCGTCAAAATATAGATCCACTGTTGAAATTTGTGTGGGGGAAAATTATTTTTAAAGTATGGATTTTGGATCTCTCAAAATTAGACTGTACTATGGGAGATAGTGCAATGAAGTGAGTGCACTATCAACTCGATTTTTGAACTCGATCAGGTTGGGTGCACTGACTACAGATTCTGGGAGAGCATTCCAGGCTTGGCAAACACGCACGGAAAAGAAATTCCGTCGACATTCCAAACGGCTGTACTGCACTGCCAGCTTCAGATGATGGCCTCTCAGATTATTGTTGTTACTGAGCTCCAGCAGATGGCGGCAGGTATGATTGGGGTCTGTCAGAATCTGATAAGCCAAAATCAAATCTCCCCGTAGTCGTCGATATTGACCACTGAATATCCCGAGTAATCTCAGTCTGTCTTCGTAGCGTAACTGGCCTAAACCTTTTACGTTCTTCGTTGCGCGTCGTTGAGGTTTCTGTAAATCAGAGAGGTCTTTCCTCAGCCACGGCTGCCAGACTTGTATTGCATACTCCACGTGTGGTCGTATGTATGCGCCTAGAAGTTGTTGAAAAACGGATGGATCGAAGCGTCCAAATGTGCGCCAGGGAAGGCCCAAACTTCGAATGCTCGCGTTCGATGCTTTCTTTGCCTGGGCTGAACAACCAAGGTCGGACTGAATCAAGACTCCTAAATCCTTTTCCTCAGCAGTTGTGTTAAGTACATGGTCACCCAGTTTATAGAAAAATGCTGATTGGTGACGTAATTGTAATACTTTGCACTTTTCTGTGTTGAGTGGGAGTTGGTTCTGAACTGAGCACGCATACACCTTATCCAGAACCTCTTGAAGTATTGCGGAGTCGTCTGGTGTATTGATCGCTCTCCAGACCTTGATGTCGTCGGCATAGAGTAGGCAGTTGGAAAGAATGAGGGCCGCTATGTCGTCGATATACATCAAAAATGATCGTGGCCCCAGTACCGATCCTTGTGGTACATCACGTTCGACTTGGATTGGGTGGGACAGGGACCCACGCACTTCTACCTCTAATCTCCGGTGGAGAAGAAAGCTTGTGATCCATCCTAGGAGCGGATCACCAATGCCGAAGCTCTGAAGTTTGCAGCTCAGGATTCCATGGTCTAGTCGATCGAAGGCCTTTGAGAAATCTAGGTAGACCACGTCCACTCCTGCACCGCTGTCAATTAATTTGGTCCAACTCGATCTTGCTAGCAGCAGATTTGTGGTGCACGATCGATTCCGTCGAAAACCATGCTGTTCATGTGCAAGGAAGGCAGACTCTTCTAGATAGGCTGTTAATACGTCAGCAACAATAGCTTCCATAACCTTTGACAGGACCGGGAGAAGGGTTACAGGACGGTAGTTGGCTGGGTCAGAACGGCTACCGCCCTTGTGAATTGGGGTTATGATCCCACATTTCCACATCTCGGGTACATACATCTGATCGAAGCAGCGTTGGAAGAATCGTGCCAGAGGCTCTGCTAAACTTTCTCCCATTACCGCAAGGGACTTAGGGTGAATGTTGTCGATGCCAGGAGAGTTGTGCTTACGCATACACAACAACTTCTTTAATACCATCCCTGCCGTGAAAGTTATATGCGTAAGTTTTGGTTGTAAAACAGCTGCTGACAAAGGAACAGATGACCAAGGAATGCATTGGAAGTTTGAATCATATTGCAGCCGCAAGACGTTCGCCGCATCCTCCGTAGTCAGCGTCATGCCATCTGGCGTTTGAAGAGGAGGGATTCTCCGTTTCACCTTACGCAGGTTGTTTACATGTTGGTAGAGCAGCTTATGATTCGAAACCATGCGCTTCGTCAGATGCTGCTGGTATGTCAGTTTATCCTCACGAACGAGTTGAGTGCAACGATTACGTTGAATTGCATAGGCCGTCCAGCTCTCCGTGCTCGGGTGTTCCTTATAGATACGCCAGGCCGAGTTCCTCACTGCCATACATTTCCGTGTCCTACTTCGTACAAATGAAATACTCTTCTTCGAGTGGACAACCTTAGTTTCGGATGCCTCTTCGACGAGAGTGCTAAATTGGTTGACGAAATGTGGCCATGCGACTGTCGGTACTTCGTCTGTCAGAAAGTTCCAGTTGGCTGTCTCTGCAAGTCTAGTCAGCTCATCGTACCGTATGATAACTCGGCTTTCCCGTGTAGTATCCGCAGGGTATTCTGCGTAGCATATATAATCGAAGAGTAAAACTGCATGATCGCTGCAACCCAACGGAGCGTCGATGATTACTTTCTCGACCATGAGTTCTTCGTTGGTAAATATCCGGTCCAGGATGGACGGCCTTTCTGCTGCTCTGAATCTGGCGGGATTGTCGATATGGCCATAAAGCGGAAACCTGGAGACATGGTCTTGTAGATCCGCTTTGAACTGTTCCGTGGGTGTTGTTGGGGCATCCAGAGCGTGAATATTGAAGTCACCAGCGATAAGAACATGACTGTATCTCCTGCTGATCACAAGCCTCAGCGCAGACGCGACATTGAAGTACATCTCGGGTGTAGAGGATGGAGGTCGATAAACGACCGCCACCAGACAGACGTCGTTGCCTGTTAAACGCAGCCGACACCAAAGAGTATCCTGCACGTTACTGTACACGTCTTCTATGGGCTCACATTAGAGGTCACTGCGATAGTACAGAGCCACCCCGCCCCCTTTACTGGATCAATCGCGCCGAACGACGGACATGCCTGGTAGCTCGACCTCCTTGTCTGTGATATCCGGGCGCAACCACGTCTCCGTTATAGCGACGAGGTCACACGATTTGGACCTTTGACATAGTCGCAGTTCGGGTAGTTTGTTAAGTAGACTTTGAGCGTTAGTGTACATACAGGACAGCTGCTTGAGCACCAAAAGAGCTTGTGGAGGATTACACGAAGTTGGATTTAAGCCGGCCGATGAAAGGCCGGCACCTGATCGTCTTTCGCGCAGTTTATCGATGAACATTTTGCACGAGCCTGCAGCCCACCTAACGTCGTTCCTACACACGCAGAACGCTCTTCAATAGCGTCATTTTCAGTGGTTGATAATCTTGATGCAGTGTCTTCGGCTCCGTTTATTTTATCACATTGAGCCACAGATGGTGTCACATCCTCCGGTGGCTTCGATTCAATAAATGGTGCCTTAAACCGTAGTTCCGATGGCAGTGCATTGTGCATTTTATGCCAGTTACGCATTAAGTTCGCCGCCATCTGCTGGGACTGAACCACAAGTTTCAGTATCCTTGGACCATTACCTTTGTAATGAGGTGAAACGGGCAGTCTAGAAATCGACTGAAGGATGACGTCGCCTGCAGATAGGGTTTCACGGATGTACCGCCATTCTTCCAGATCGGGAGCATAATCCTCCTCGTCCCTAGCTGTTGGTGGCTCGGACACACCATGAACTAAAATGGTTTTTCGCCAGCTGGCCGTGTTGCGATCGTCTAAACTGTTTTTTTCTCGCTGATGTTCGCTCCATGGAACATCCGGAAAGATGCGGATCTTACTGTCTTCACCTCGGAGGTGATATGCCGATAAGAGCACCGCCTCTACATCGTGCTGGATTCCACTTTTGCTTCGGAATTACTGTGTTTTGCGTTATCTTTCTGTGTGAATTGTGCACCAATATATTTCATTTGGTGTATTTTTCTATTTGTGCAAATCTGATTGAGGATCTCTTGCTAATTGTGGAGATCTCATCGATTGGCCATTCACGACGAAACTGCAAAATTCGGCAATGGTTCGTAGTACAGCTACAAGGAAAACAAGTGCTCGTCGGCCCACGCAACAGCAAACGAAAGCGATTTGTGCTTTGAAATCGTGCTCTAAAACAATCCGGATTGCAATAACTTGTAATATCTGTGAAAAGAGCTTTCATCCCCGGTGCGTAGGTGTGGCAAAAATGAAGGAACGACCTTGCACATCAGACTCCATTTGGTTCTGTGCTGAGTGCATGGCCAACCCGCTCGTGAGGTGCGTTGCTCTACTGACAGAGAAATGTGACAAACTAACCCAAATTGTGCGACTAGCAACAGCTGAAAGAGCGGGTGGATCGCAACCAGATGGTGCCGCACTCGACTCACGTTGTCTAACCGTATGTCCACACCTGGCACAAACCAGTCAAAACGATTGTTTAGTAGAGAGCATACATCCCGCAACCCCACTCACGATAGGCTGCAAACAGAGAGTTTATGAAAGACTGCCAACCCCGGCGAATCCAACGTTGCAGAGTTCGGTTTTCCCGAGTGATATGGCTGTGGCTCATGATACTCCAGTGCATTCCGATTTACCGAATAACACAGGTAGTCCGACTACCTATGCAAATATCGTCGCTGATTGTCCACCCGTGGCAAATTTAACCAGCGTGTCTGCAAGCACACCGAAGTTTGTTAGAGGCGACACTAATAACAATGTGTACACGAAAAGATTTCCCCCCACGCCGCCGGTAATAGGAGGCATGCCGGTATCCAAATGTACGAACTCCAAGAAGATGCAGAGTTCGATGAAGATAATATGCTCTAACGTGCCTGAGTCAAAGGCAAACTCTATCAAAGATAGACTACTGGACGACATGAAACAGTGGGAATTCATATGCCGAGCAATTGGAATGCAGCCTAAACAGGCTAGCTTATGTCGTATCATCCGCCACCCCAACTCACTTCACTATGGCGAGCGGAGACTACTTCAAGTGACATTGCAGTCCGGTAACGAAGCAGAGACAGTCCTCTTGTCAGCTCACCGTCTTCGTGATTCATCATGCGGAGTTCGCATATTCCCGGATATACCTTGGAGTGAGCGTTGACAACGAAAACAAAATCCTGGAGAACACCGCAAGCAAACTGATGAAAGATCCATCTTTGTCCATGGTGTCCCCGAAACACAGGCACCGGAAGAGTCGCAGGTCAAAGCTCATGACTTGGAAGAGTGGCGGTATATCCGCGAAGCACTATCTCTCCACGACGTAATTGCCAGCTCAACATCGAGGTTACCCATATCGCCAAACTACAAAGGAAGTGGTCCACGAGTGCTTAAAGTCTTGCTTTACTCCAAACAAATGGTTGAAACGGTGCTCGGGAATTGGCACAAGTTCCGCACCAAATTGCCATCAGAAATACGTCTGAAGGCGGTTGGAACCAGGCCATCGATGGATAAGGGAACACGAAACCAGCAAGAAGTAGTCGCGATCCCCGCTGTCTGCATTTCTGTACCGGAACACAATGAGACGCCCCAGCCGTTCGATGAAGAAGGAAAAGACAGTCTGCTGCAGATCGACTCAGGGCGCTGTAGGCTTCCCACCGTAACGGCCCCGGGAAGTTTGCAAGAGACACATCAAAAAAACGTCCCTCAGCCGACCCTTGTTGGGTCGGCGTAAATTCTCGGAAAACCAACGTATGTTCAAACACGCTTCTAACATCCGTAGTTCTCAATTGCCTTTATACAAACGCCCAAGGGCTTCTAAGCAAATTGGCAGAACTTCGATCTCGTCATAGCTCAATGTGTTGGGACCTCATCATGATAACTGAGACGTGGCTAAACGACATGATTAGTGACGCTGAGATCGAACTACCTGGCATGTCACTACTGCGTAACGATCGACCCACCAAGGGCGGCGGTGTAATTCTCTACTACCGTTCAGACCTTCTCATCGAGCTCATGAACGACCCTGGGATTCAAACCGTAGACTCCTTATGGTGCTGCCTACACCTAAAGCACGGCGATAAATGCTTATTGGCCATCGTATATCGTCCACCAATGTCCACTTTAGAAATGGACAAGGCCCTGTCTTCTGCTTTGAAGAATTTACTGGAACGGTCATACAGTCATATTTTGCTGGTAGGGGACTTCAATCTGCACGGCCTAGAAACCCCAGCCACCATGAGTGAACCATTCAAAGCCGATCTACAAGAGCTAATTGCAGGATCACCGCTGTACAACCATGTCACATCCCCAACGCGATTCAGGACAGGAAACCAACCGGCCATCTTGGACCTCGTTTTCACCAATGAGGAACTGATGATTGACGTAGTAACCACATCCACTCCCTTGGGCCGCAGCGATCATGCGACACTATTGTTCCAATACTTGTGTTATGCAGATTATCCTAATGAAAGCAACGTGGAATCTTACGTCGTAACCAACTACGATAACCTGGCAGAACTCATTAGTGCTACGAGCTGGTCCTTTTTAACTGAGTGGTCCCCAGAAGTGGCATGCGGGGAATTTGTCAACAAATTCAACACGCTCGTAGCATTGGCATCTAAAACCAAAATCCCCCGACCCGACAAGGCGAAGTCGTTTCTCAGAAGCAGGACCCGGAAATGCATGGGATTGAGGGATCTGGCATGGCGCGCCCATATAGCCTCTCCGAGCGAGGATACTTGGAACACCTATATTACAAAAAGAAACCACTGTGTCACACTCGTCAGGGAGGATAAGGTAAAGAGCCAACAAGATCTTGTGTCAAAGTTCTGCGTTAACCCAGAGCTACTATACAGACACATAAATAAGCTTCGCCGCGTTAAGCGCGGAATTCCGGCTCTGCGCACAGCTTTCGGATTAGCACATACGGCACAGGATGCGGCGAACGTCCTAGGACAACACTTCGGCCGCACTTTCCAGTGTGTGCAAACATCTTGCACCATATCTAGGCAACTTTTTCCGCCATCAGGCCTTAACCACATTTCCTTCACAACTGCAGCTGTATTGAAGCGGTTGATGTCGTTG